GGGGGGGGGTGGGGAATCCCTGTTTGACCTCTGCTGATAAACTGGTTTTAGCAGTAGGCAAGACACGTGGGACAAATTGGGTTCTTCTGTGTTTGCACATGAAGAGCTCTGCCAGCATCTCACCTCGGACAGGCCGTGTAAAAGGGCCTGAGACCCCCCACAGAAAGACTCACAAGGCCACAGAACTGTAAAATTCATCGTATTTTGAGGCTGTTTCCACTTTGTGCTGGTGGGAGACACACATCTGAGCACTTTGGCAGAGCAGTGCTATGGGTGAGCGGGGCTGTACCCTGGGTTGCACCACAAGAATGACCAGCAGGACGAGGGAGGTGATGCTCCTCCTCTGCTCTGGTGATGCCCCGCCTGCAGTTCTGTGCTCAGCTCTGGGGCCCTCACTGTAAGAAGGACATGGACCTTCTGCAGCAAGTCCAGAGGAGGCTCCAAAGATGATCAGGGTGCTGAAGCACATCCCCTACAAGGACAGGTTGAAAGATTTGGGCTTGTTCAACCTAGAGAACTCTCTGGAAATACCTTATTGCAGCCTTTCAGTACTTAAAGGGCAGCTAAAGGAAAAATGAGGAGGGACTCTTTATCAGAAAGTGCAGCGATAGGATGAGGGGTAACAGTTTCAAACTGAAAGAAGGTAGATTTACATTTGGTATTAGGAGGAAATTCTTTTCTGTGAGCGTGGTGAGGCACTGGCATAGGTTGCCCGGAGTTGTGGAAGCCCCATCCCTGGAAGTGCTCAAGGCCCGGTTGGACGGGGCTTGGAGCAACCTGGTCTGGTGGGAGGTGTCCGTGCCCATGGCAGGGGGTTGGAACCAGATGATCTTTAAGATCCCTTCCAACACAAACCATTCTATGACTTTATGATTCTATGACTGTTAATGGCTTCTTGCCTACCTGTCAGATGCCACTTCATTTTGGGTGACCTCTTCTTTGCAGGGGATTGCAGAAGGACTACAGGACAGACCGGGTGCGTGGGACTGACGTGCAGTGCTGGTTTGTGCACAACAGCGGGAAAGGTTTCATAGACGGCCACTACAAAGATTACCTCGTCCCCCACCTGTACAGCTTCCTGAAGAAGCCCTGAATGCTCCAACACAAAAACAGTTTATTACAAAAAAAATTCTGATCTGCTCCTTCATACCTAAACTCTTCCGAGCAGAAGCTGTCAGCATATCAAGTCAGAGCAACCCAAGCTGACTTCACCACTATTTGCTTTATGAATAATCAGTGTTTCAAAGCAATGTAACTCCCTTTTCCATTAAAAAAAATTTGTAATAAAGTGACGTGCTGGGTTGTAGTAGTTGTCTTGCTCTTGCCCTGTCTGATATATTGGACAGTAAACCCCATTAAAATAGATTTACGTTTTGTAACACACATTTTGTAGTAGAGTTGTAACAGCATTGTGGCTCCTGCAGTGTGGGTAACCCACACCCGACCAGATTTAAGACTTACCCCTTCACTTTATCAGCAAAAATGGAAGTTCGTTCACTACCGGGCTGGGCAAAATTGAGGCAAAAATTAAAACTTCCTTTACAGTAGATGTATGGGAAATTTAACAGAAAAGGAACATGGGCTCTGCAGTGAGTATCTTGAGAGTGAACCAGTCGTGAGGAATCTCCCTGAAATAGCTGAGGCTGCCATATTGCAGGAAAACAAATTATGTGAGTCCAAGACAACCTCCAGCCTGTTTTTTGTGATAATTTCAACATCACAGTGGAGTTCACACAGATGCAAATCTGGGAAAGCAGAAAACATTCAGACTATATAGAAGTCACCATCGGTACTAAAAGCTTTTCCTCCAGTGGGATTAGCTCCCAAAAGATGCCTGTTCAAGAGTACTCCACAATGAATGAGGTCAGTAGGGAAACAAATACACGTGTAGGTACCTAGAGCTGGATTTAAAACTCTGCTTTCAAGCAACCTTAGGAAAAAGAAAAAAATGTTGGCCAGATTCTTCTCAGCAACCCTAAACTAGGAAGGGGACTCAAGTACTCGCGCTTCTGAACTTCAGTTTCCATCACTTAGGAACTAAAGGCTGGGACACAATCTTTCTTGCAGCCCTGGTGTTAGCAACGAGAGGATCAATGTGTTTTAGGCGTCGCTTCAGAGTAACTCTCGGAAGCGTAAGCACCTTCCCTACAAACCATCCACTGCTTCTTTGAACTCATTTATTAGCTTTGGCCTCCACAAAAAGCGGCAGCAGTGAACTCCCTAGTTTAACTACAGTCTCAGGGAGGAGGGAAGGAAAAAGCCGTTGAGTGTGGTTTTAAATCACTCAATCGCTAATCCCACTGTTTCCCAGCTTCTGTGTGAAAACAAGTACTGAATAACCATTCTCTGTTTTCTCTACACAATATGTAAGTTAGGCACATCTATTACACACACTCTAACTTGTCAGGCTCCAGAATGTTAACCATAATTATTCTCAGTGCTACAGAACTTTATCCTCATTACTTTCCTACACGCCGCTTCTCACTCCGCTCATACCTGTTCTGTGAGAAAGGGCAGAGCTGTTACACAGTCCAGGTCGCACAAAGACTGAATTTACACACAAGTGTGTCTTTTATCTCCTCATAGATTCTTCGCTCTTCAGACACCACATTACTGCTTCTTTTTTAAAATTATTTATTTCCTCTACCAAACTGGAAAGCCACCTGCGTGAGGTTATTTCAGGCTCCTCCAGAGAGCAGCTTTCGCTAAACCTCTGCAGTCTTTCCGTTTTCCTGCAGGGGTCCCCTGGAAACCACAAACCAACACCACAGCGAACATCTGAGGCACGGAAAGGGACAAGGAACAGAGACCTTTGCCTTTGACGTTTAAACTGCAACATCACTGACACGCACATCACCACAGCATCCCGCCCTCTTCAACCCTCAGCTGAGATTTTTTTTTTTTTAACCGAAAAGCAGCGCACCGGCTGGGCACTTCACTGTGCTCCTCGCTGGATGTGAGCCAGCAGACGCCTCGCGCGTTTAAAAGGCTGATAAGAAACACGCTGACCTAAGAAAGGTTTATGTTTATTCCTGAACCGCCTCAGAAATCAGAACTTAGAACTGTACAAAATATGACATTTTTTACAAAAATAAAAAGGGAACGTTACATCGTTTGGCACGAGTGATGTCACCGGTGCAGCAGGGCACCGATGGACACGTGAACGAAGGAAAAGGCTCTGGAAAAACCAAACAGCAATCGCCAATATGTATCAGCACAAACTTGGGTTGGAATCCCAGCAACCCCACACGTATCATCACCTTTAGAGTCCACAGGAAGACAAACTGTGTATCAGTATTATTAGGAACCCTGACAAACGAGATCGAGGAGCAATGACTTGCATTCTACTATCGCTGACGTGCCTACCAAAAATAACTTGGTGACAGCACTTAATAAACCAGATCATTCATACAACATCCAGAAAAATAAATCCCTTGCAGCCGTTACCTTCCTGCTATTCTCTTAATCCCCTCCCCCTTGTTCCTGCAGCCAGAACTCAATTCTGGCTGCAGATGGAGAAGTGTGATGTTTAAACTCTGCTGGTTCAACACACGCTGCCTGCCTCGTGCACCTACTCGTAGGTAATTCTCTCTCTTACGGAAACGAGAACGTACCTCAGTAAATAAAATACTCCAGCGTGCAGCTATCTGCTGTATTTTACAAAAGGAAGTGGAACCAAATATTATAACTTCGCTATAGAATCAGATGAAATATTTCCACTGATAAGATCTCCGCACACATTTTATGTAACAAATCCGTAACGATCTTTAAATAAATCCCATTTGCTTGTGGTTAATTTCTATATACATTATAAGTACATACACACATACAATTAAAACCCTGACATGGTAGAGTCTTGTGTCTGCTCAGAAGATGTCGGAAAGATGTTCTGGGGAACCAAAATCTTTTCCGATCCACAACTGGCACCTCAGGCAAGTTTGGAAATGTCTTCATACTGGATATCTTCAAGTCGGCGACCTTTTAAAGGTCCCTGGAGAATAACACAGCAGAAGAAATAAGATCAAAATACAAACTTTCTTGTTTGTTGAATTCCCAACAGAGCTTCATGTAAGATCGCTAAAGGGGCTGTATGAAATCTTGCCACTTTCTGACATTTTTATGAGGTTTTTTTAGACATGTTTTCTGTTTCACTATTTTCAGCCTGACCAGAGAATGTGACAGGGCCTCAACGCTGCCACAGAAATCTCTTCACTTTCAGGACACTTTTTGCATTAATTAAAGTCCTTGCAATTTCAGGACAAACACAAGCAGCTGTTTTGAGTTTATCCACTGTGAACTTATAAGTAGTAAAAGATTCGATTTTGAGCATTCTTATACATAAAAATCCTGTTCGCCTCATAATCAGTAACAAAATTCTCACAGACTTCACTGGTTTCCGGTAGTTTCATCAATTTTTAATCAAGAGTTCATGCAGGAAGGGGAAATCTTAACACCTACAAGCATCAGAACCAGAGAAAAACCACCCTTGCTTTCCAAGACCAATGTTATCATGATCCTTAGGTCCAACCAAAGCTGGTTCTGTGGTTAGGACATACCTACAGTCTCTTCCCAAGCAAATTCTCCAGAATTCAATATATTCTGAGTTTCTGCAGCCCTTCTTTGACTGGGATCCTAAGAGGGTCCCTCTCCTGCAGGCTGTGCTTAGGAAATTCAACTTTAAGCCAATATCCTCTCTGCTCTATCAAAGAAGTTTAAAGATTGGTTTTGCAGAGGAGAGCAAAGAAGTAGCCACACAGACATGAATTTTAGCCCGGAGAAAGGTTATATGAAACAAGATCCAGACAAACCCCAAAAATACCTCAAGCATAATTGTTCACCATGAATAAGACAACAAATAAGCACATAAAGCCCCACATTCAGTCTGGAAAAGGCAAGAAAATATTCACCTCCTTGCATATTTCACATTTTTTACCTTCCCACAAAATAGTACCAGCAGCAACATTCAAAATAAACACACAAAATGTTATGCAAGTCTCTTTCAAGTTCAAAACTTGCAAAATTCAGCATCGTGGCCTCTTTTTAAAGACAACAGAGAATTAGTCCGTAATGGGGAATATGTGGCTGTTTTCCTACTGGTTGGGAACAGGTAGGGGGTGACCACAGTGTTTTTCACACCATGAATCCCACCTGTGAGCCAGCATTAACACCATCACCTTTATTTGTGCCAACTCTTGCGTGCAGAGATGGAAAGTGCTCTATGCTAATGAGATCTTGCAGTGTTTGATACTTACAGAGTCGATGATTATTGTTGCTGAAAACTTCTTTTCATTGATCGATTCCAAGATGCCTTCATTTCCCCTGTATCCACCATTTAACACCATCACCTTCTTGCCTGAAATGAGAAATAGGAAAGCAGTTACACGACAGGGCCCCCTGCTTCTTTTGACGGAGCCGTGCTCAACCCCACCGACACCTGAGGGAGAGGAGGTTTCTCCCAGCAGTTCCACTATGCAGCACCCAACTTTTCTTTACAGCCTGTCTGTTTCCAAAGTGCACCCCAGTTTATGGCTCCGGGGTGTGCCGGTATTACAAGCAGAAACCACTGAAACTACATCAGCGAGATCTAGACAGGCTGGAGAGTTTATGAAATACAGCAAGGGCAAGTGTAGAGGCTTGCATCTGGGAAAGAACAATCCCACGTACCACTAGAGGTTGTGGACTCACCTGCTGGAGAGCAGCACAAGGGAAAGGGCCCTGGGGGTGCTGGTGGGCAGCAGGATGGCCATGAGCCAGCAATGTGCCCTCGTGGCCAAGAAGGCCAATGGCTTCCTGGGGTGGGTTA